CTCATTTCATTTATAAAGCCTCAACTTGTATTTAAATGCTATACGATATGAGGTAGCCTTTACTCAACCTCTATACAAGCAAATCTTGCAAACTTAGTCAGCTTCTAATGGCTGTTGGAATGGTTGTGGCAAGCTCTTATTGCATATCCATTAACGCTTCTATACAGCTGTTATTCTGCTGTTTAGTTGTGTGTGAACTTAAAAGGTGCTTATTCAACCATTCCCTGATTATCCAATAATCACTACACAGCTTGATGTTGAAGCCGGGTTAAATATTGTTTGCTCTTTATATGATGGGAGGATTTATAGAATTTATTTTACTGATAATCAAATTATTCAAAATTAGTTATAAATACACACACCACCAAATTATTACCCTGCACCGAAACCTGAGACGACCGCATTGGCAAACCTTGACACTACCAACTTCGCTACGCCAACACTTTGAAGTGACGTAAACAAATCTACATGAATTTCTACAACAAGATCGCTAAGCAGAGGCTTTATAGTAGTGCACATAAATCACCTTTCTCAACTAGTTAGTTCAGCTTTGTAAAGAAGCGGAGTAAAAGCTGTAAAACTGCACAGGTCTAAAAGTAAACCTAGGTGACTTTAAAAATGCTTCCAAAGTGGTGCTAGAACTTTTTATTAGATGAGTACAGGTTGCACAGCACTTTTGATGTTTATGTTATTCAGCAAGAGTGGCTGGTTGTGTAGAAGCCATGAAATAAGTAATATATTCACTTTAATAGATTTATTTTGCAGCTAAAAATTGAAAGTTGATTAATATTTGCATAGAAGTGACATTAGCATTTATTGGCTGCTGTTATTCTGTACGACTGACAAATTGAATAGTGGTTGTGGAAAAGTTGAGTAAACGCTCTCCAAAACTATTTTGCTAGCTTCTGATTGTAGCTGTATCTGCAGCTTGTTTTCAGCTGCTTTACAGCACAATGCTGAAAAAGGTGGCTTATAAAGCTGAAAATGTTTGTTGGGAAGTTCATGTTTTAGGAATAATGAAATATTTGTATCGTAAATCATATCTCAAACCTCCTTCTCCCTCTCCCCATCCATAAAACTGTAAATCTCTACTAAGCTCGATACGACCGTGATTAATCGGTTCAATTCCTTTAACTCTAGATTTAAGACATTAATTATGTAAAACGCAAGTGATAATTATACAATTGAGCCTGTACAAATAAATTAATACACAAAACCATTAATGGACTTTTAAACTTATTGAATCACGAATTACAGGTCTTTTTGTGCGTACCAATTCACTTTTAGTCAGCCTTTAATGAGTGAACCAATGCTATCCAGAGATGTGACTACCTGAATCACTTAATAAAGATATAAAAAAAAAAATAAAATAAATTGTTTTAAACATTAAGGATGTCTGCTCGGATGGATGATCGTTAGGACATCAATTCAGCTTATCGTTTACCAAAACGAACCCTGCTGCAAACCCAACCCTCTTATCCAACATCCCAGTGATTCCTCGTGGAAGTGCAGAGGTGTTCTCGGCTTCCATCAAAGCGAGTGTCATGTCAACACAATCCTTCCCATTCCTTTCTTGACCTGTGTTCGGGCGCGGCCAGCGCTGGTATTGCCTAATTTAAGATCACCAGTTTTTACACATTGAGGATGATTGCTAGTCCCAAGCATCGTCTATTGGTTCTCTGTGTAATTACAGCTGATCTGACAATAACAGAGTAGCAACCGTGGGCGGTCAATCAAGCTCAAGCTCAAGCTCAAGCTTAAGGATGTCTGCTCGGATGGAACTGATGATTATAGTGCACGAACGGTAGCTTTTAAAGCTTGCAATGTTGCGGTGCCCAAGATTCACCTTCATCGCTAAGCTGTTTGAGCAACTTTCCCCTATTGCGCAAACTCCATTCTGAGACGGGTATTGCATTTTGACAAACGCTATCTTTTGGTTTTCGCCAACCTTAGATAACTTGTCTTCTTGGGCTAGGAATCCAGGGATCGAATTTTCGCTGCAGAAAACTGAACTGGTGGTGTTTACTCGAAAGCGGTACCCAGCCCAAATGCATCTTAATCATTTTGACCGAAACATAGACGAGTGCACGGATGGATTTGAGTTCACTCACTCGACAAAAAGTGACACAACAGCGGGGCCCTATTTACTAAAAATGAACACATGAATAATACTCACGTAACTTTTGAAACGGGTCTATCAACTTATGTACCCAAAACATGTTAAGCCTTTTTCGCGCGAACCGAATACGCTCACGCAAACTAACAACACCATCGGGCAGAGGAAATTCTCCCCTATCCGATAGTGCTCTTGGTTTGCGTGGGCGTACTTCGGTTCTCGTGAAAAGGACCTAGCAAATTATTTTAAAAAGTTGATAGGCCCTTTTCAAATGTTACGCGAGCATTATTCATGTGTTCATTTTTAGTAAACAGGGCCCAGCTGTTGTGTCACTTTTTGTCGAGTGAGTGAACTCAAATCCATCCGTGCACTCGTCAATAGCCTAAGCATTATCTTTCAAGTACCTTGGGGTCTGGTTTTAGTTAAAGTGTACTTGGAATACCCACATTACGTATTTGAAGCAAAACTGCGATCAGAGGGTCAACTTTCTCCGTTTAATTTGCTGCACATGGTGGGGTGCCCCTTCCTTGGGAACTTATAACGCAACAATTCTCTCTGTTCTAGAATATGACTTTCTCCCGGGAAGAAAAAATCATAAATTAAAATTGGAACGAATTCAATACCGTTGTATGCGTATTGACGAGTGCACGGATGGATTTGAGTTCACTCACTCGACAAAAAGTGACACAACAGCGGGGCCCTGTTTACTAAAAATGAACACATATGTGTTCATTTTTAGTAAACAGGGCCCCGCTGTTGTGTCACTTTTTGTCGAGTGAGTGAACTCAAATCCATCCGTGCACTCGTCAATTGCTCTCGGCTAAATGCACTCGACGCATATTATGAGTCTCGAGTTTCTGACAGGAGTAACACCTCTCCAGCACCGTTCCAGGGAGCTCTGAAATATACACTCCCGAGCATAAGTTTAAGGACACCCCCAAAAAAACATGACAAATTTGTTATGTTCATATCTCTGTCATGTTACGTCTAATGTTCGTTCTCTTTAGATCATTTGAAAGGTATTGAATGGAACTTTCCTCGCAGGCAAGTTGTTCAACATAATTTTCAAATTTTGTGTGCTAAGATTTCACCCAAAGTTACAATATTATTCAAAATTTACTCTGAAGAATCGTGACTGATTTTCACAGAATTGGGTTGGCCAAATTTTGAAATAAAAGTAGTGCTAGAACACTTAGGGATCGTCCATTAATAATGTCACACTTTTAGGGGGGAGGGGGGAGGGGGGTTTGGACACTGTGACGAGTCTTACAAAAAACAATTAAGGTGCATATAAAAAATGTGACAAAGGGGGGAGGGGGGTAGAAAATGGGTTAAATTTGTGTGACATAATTAATGGGCCTTCCCTTATGCTATACCATTTATACCATTCAAATAACCTTTGGAGATCGAAAATTGAACAAAACATATTTGCATGGTTTTTTGGGGTGTCCTTAAACTTATCATCGGTAGTGTATCTGGGAACTACGCAAAGGCAAGTACGCAAAGGTTAAAACAATGAGCTTGTGAAGCAAAAAAAACAAATTCACCGTAGACACCAAACTTAAAACAAAAAGTATTGGACTTTTGCCTTGCTAGATTTCCATACTGTCACAGACAAACAGACATAACACATGGAATATTTATCGTTGAAAAACACCGTCGCTAAAACACTGTCATCACTGTTGCACTATCATGGGTAGCACGCTCAACAGATGGTGGTAGCGTCTCAGATGGCGATATACCAACCAACAAAATATTGCGTTGGCCGTTAATTGCTTAATCGATTTATAGTATACGAGTAGTATGTATGTTTGTCTGTGGTATAGTGGTGATATTGGTGGTATCTCTAGTTTATAAGCAGCAGCATTCAGTCTGTACGACTTTAGTCGAAGGTGGTGATAAATAAAATAAAATCTAGTAATTTGTCCAAAGATAAGAATTACTTCAGCAGGGAAATGATGTGATTGGTCCCGAGCCATGTGTTGATGGGTTCGAGGCCCTACTTTCCGAGATATATTATTTCAAATTATACCTGGATCCCATCAGTAAGCTATCCCTGCCACCGCACAAAACTAAACTTATACTTTTGCAACTAACTTTCCCCCAGCAATCATTCGAAAGTAATCACCATCATACAAACTACAACGACCGAAAACTATTCAACCCATTTTCATCATTAGACAAATCTGCTCTTTTTAACTGCGGCTACTACGTAAAAAGCAAAAGAGCATCTCTCAAGCCACGTTGCATCGTTTTATCCTCATGGTACGAGAAGACTAGGTCCCCAAACGTCGAGAGTGACAAATCGACAAATCCTATCGAGCAAATTTCTCTCCACCACCGCAGGAATTAATTTCATTTTCCATGCTGTTCCATCCTCCTTCGTAGAGCAGAAGCCAAACAACATTATTAATTTCCATATGTGGACCGGGTCACCCACCATCCATTTGTATGGCACTTGCTTGCACTTGTACCACTGCTCGGCCCATGGCTTTGGATGGGTACAAAAAAGGATTCTTTTGTACCATGATGGTTGTCCATTCTTCTAGAAAAACTAATTACGTTGGGTGTACAAAATGGATGCCATTAACTATTACCATCCATAGAGCTAAACGCCTTGTGGTTAAACGTTTATTTTTAATTCTATAACTATGTTTCACAATTCCAGCAATTATTTATGCATGCCGTAATTATTTAATAGCTTTATTACCCGGAGAGAAGAGGTTAAATGATGGCCGATTTTTTTCCCGATGATTGTCTGGGAAAGAATTGCTTCCTTCCCTGTGGCTTCAAGGTTAATAATAGCATGAAACTGATCTTCTGACCCGAAAGCGTACCACTCGGTTCCCAATTCTCCACAAGTGCGGTACGATCGATCAGGACGATGGAAACTCTGAAACGATTCAAAAAGTTTCACGCTCTCCGTTCAGAAGTGAAAGACCCTCATAAAACTTTCGAAGACATTATTGTCTTTTTGAACGGAATCGCTCGCAATTGGCTCGGAATGGACGTCACGGAATTGGACTTTTCCTTCGTTAATCCTCGGTACATCTTCCTGTTGCTGATTATGAGCAGCTTCCTGTATGCCGATGTGGAAGCTGCTATCCTTTCCGGAGACGTCGGTGGTTTTGCGTACAACATAGCCGTGCTCGGATTCGGGCTGCAAGGATTCGCCAAATTCGAAGCGTATGTTTACCGCAAGGAAGCCATGTACACTCTCATTAGGAAGATCTACGCTTTTCTAGCAAAGAACAAAGAAAACGATCGTTTGAACGAAATCCTGAAGAATAATGTAACGGTCGTTTTGATGATGGAACGATTCTATATCGGTCTGTATGGTTTCGTGTTTGTTACCATGAGCATCTTCGGGTTAATCACGTCCCTATTTACTGGAGAACGGCAGCTGTCGTTTGGATTTCAGTTTTCGTTTCTGGACACCTCTCAATGGCCCGGATTTGTGCTGACCTACATTTACCAAGTGATTGGGGTACTGATGGTGGTAATAAGCTCGTGCTGTAACGACGTTCTCATCGTGGCCGTCTACGTCAATGCTCTGGCAATGTACGATTGCATCATGTCCGATTTGAAGGAGCTGTCCAAGGAATCGCAGCAGAAAAAGAGCCCCACTAACCTACGGATTGCAGAAGAACGAATGAAGTCAATCATAACACAACATCAGGATTTGCTCGAGTAAGTTATTCAGTACTCCTTAAAATATGTTAGCATAAAGGGTGTATTCGATAAAAATGGCACACACATAAACAGCTGTAACTTTTTAACGATTGTATGACATTCCCCAGAATGCTATTCTCAAGAATACCATCCCCCAGAATGCACCATTATCCACAGAAAAAATCCTCAGAATGAACCATTCCCCAGAAACTGACAAATAAATAGTTGTTGTTCATTTATATTGTTCTGTGCACCATATGTTTGTTTTTGTTTTTCAATTTCGGCTTTGTAGACAAAGTCATTAGTTCTGGTTCTGTACAGTCCAACACCCTTACTTTTGAGACAAAGTCAATGCTATTCATTGAATACTTTCTGGAATGCACAATCCATCCTCAGTCCTGCGCTGAATAGGTCTCTTAAACTTTTCGTTCTTATGTAACAGTTTTTTGTTAACACGTGATGTGCTGTCCAAAGGTAGCGCTGACGAGCTTGAGTTTTGCCCTTTCTTGTCCCCAATACATAATTCCTTTCAAAATACTTGAAGAAAGGTTGCATTGATCTTGAAGCCTTTTGCAACATTTTTAGGATCTAAAAATGCCAAAGCTTCTGCTTGGGGGAAAGCTTTTAGCAATTGAATATTGTTATTGTTATTGCTCAGTTCACACCCTGGCTGGCTGCTGCCTACCGATCTGCACTTAAGCCAGGCTTGAACCTACGGAAATTTAGTCGTGGCCTATGCTAGACCGTATAGCATGACGACTTTCCTTTCACTAGCAGGCTTTTTGGTCCCACTAGCGTCCGATTAGGAGATAGTAAGAGATCAAAAAAATAAAGAAGAGAGATAGAGGATTTTGTTGTTTTGATAAAAAAAAAACACGCCGGCTTGTTGTGTAACATCAGGTTCGATCGCTTTCATTCCGTTCCAAGGGGCAACGTCCATCGTAGTCGTACTCAAATACCTGGGAACCTCCAGAGGTGTACAGGGCCAACGTGAAAGACTTCCATTCTGGGCAGCTGCTTGACCTGGGCCCAGGTCAAATTCCTATCGGCTTGCTTAATTTCCTTGTTGACGCTCCGCCGCTTTAGTATTTGCCTTTGCTGCGATGTTCTGGTGGATTTAATTCATAATCAAACGCTTGCCTGCAGACTTTGTTTCTATTGCTATCGGCTTCTGATGACATTTACATCTGAGATCCATTTGTGAGGCCACCAGCCACAAGTTATATACCAAAGGTAGCGGTTGATGAGACCTGCAGCTTTTGAGTGTTCTCCACTGGTGCTGCACAGATTCTACGTTTTAATCGAAGTTTCGAATTTTGGTACGTTGACGAATCTGATTTGATCTCCGCTTTTGTGTAAATGTCATATTATCACCAATTTTATTACCATCACCTTAGTGTGTGACATCAGGTGTACGCTCCTCTGTGTTTTCGTTACCAATGCAGTTAATTGGACACGTTTGTTGCATTTCCGTATGTCTCAATATTATTCTTGCTGAAACACCGTCAAACCTACTATCCAGAGGCAGCGAACCACCTTAACACCTGAAATTATACAAAAAACAAACTAAACATTAGCACCAATCTCACAGCGAACCACCTTAAGTGAAAATCATCAGCCGCTCTTCCTCTAACATAATGTTCTTCAGCAAAAAATTTTGCCCGTCGTTCGTTTTAATGTAAGGGAGAACAGCCCATAATGCACCCCTGGGGTAAAATGCCCACTTATAGAAAAACAGCGATAACTTTTCCTCAGATGCATTTTCCGGGTAACGGTTTGTGATTGTTTTCAACTGGAGGTTTAACAAATAATTCTTGATCATAAAATCATGTATTGACCTACTGATTCCTTAAAAAAATTGCATTTTGTGCAAAACAGGACACAGTTGTTAAAATCATCGACTGTAAATTAAGCTTTTATCATCATGTATCACAAAAAATATTAAAAAAATTACGTTTCGTATATTTTTTAGATATTTTACTTGATGATTCACAGTTTAACATTCTATTGAGATTTTGAGACCTTATTTCTGATGTAACATAAAGAAATAATCATTTGAAATACGGCATCCCTTTGCATTATCTACTTGCAGGGGTTATGGTTTGTTTACCATGGGGTGCATTTTACCCCAATGTTGTGGTGCGTTTTGGCCATTGTTGTCGTGCGTCTTGTCCCAATGTTGTGGTGCATATTGCATCATGAATCAGGCGTTTTGCCCCGATATCATTGGAAAATCATCCTTTTGTAGTTCTAAATCACTTGATCTTTGTAGAAAACATGGTAATGAACCAAACGCCATTACTTTCTTCTTGATTTTAGCTTCCATTCGCCAGCCATTGACGATTTTGCTTAAACGGTGCGTTTTGCACCATCCTACCCTATAATGTATCGACGCAATCGTAGTCGTCAGGGTCATTAGGAGGTTTTGTAGTCTTACGGATACGATGGATCATCTTCCACTGGGTTAGTTTGGACGTCGTAGTCTGTACCTATTGCAAAAGAAGTCCATCAGCAGTTGTACGTACATCTTTTAACACTCCGAACATGATGCTTCCGGTAAAATGAGTAACGGCAAACTTGCAATGTTTGAAAAATCATAGCTCAGCCATTTATTAACGAGTTTCGAATCTTTTGGCGCCATTTGAAGATTCATACTTTAAAGATTTATTCGGTATGAATAGATTTAAAATCAATCGATAAATTCCTGAGCAATGATTTTTCAAACATTGCCAATTTTCCGTTACACATTTTAACACTAGAAGCATTGTGTTCGGAGTGTTAATCAAAAGACCGTTGTTGAATAAAACACTGAAGCTTGCTCGCGTTAGTCGCAATAGAGATTTCTGAATGCTTATATGTGAGTGTGGTAAAATGAGTAGCTCGCCGTATTCGAATCATAGAGTAACTCTTTAACCGTACACTTACTTAACCAATCGGAGATCTTTATTGAAAACTGACAATACATACGATTGAACGCAATATGCAATATTTCATTGAAGCATCCACCACGTGTTACTCACCTCCAAAGAGTGTTGTGTCGCAGTCAATCTTTTGATTTTTCTGGTTTTTCGGAACCTTCTCTAGCCTTTCGTTTTAAGGCTGCTCTGTACCGAGCTGTTTCAATAGCCAGTAGAGTTATGCAAAATTTGAAATTTTCGCTCCACAGTGCTCAAACGGTTCCAAATTGGGTCCTGATTAGCCTCCCAAAATTTGAACTTCTTTAGTAAGAAACAGATTTGGCACAAACCATTTCAAGTTTATATGGGAATTACTATGGGAACACTTATGTTTTTGTTGATATCTATCTAATAATTTACCACATCATTATGCTTTTAAAAATGATAGCAGTGATTGTAGAAAATTTTATCAGCTAAATCTTTGTTCAAAACCACTTTTCAATCAAATGTAAGGAACAAAAGTTATTAATGATTCAAGTCACTGATGTCTTATGATCAGGGTTGCTTCCACTCACTTGCTATAAAAAATTGTTTTTCGGAATTATGAAATCATTAAATATTTTAATGATAATTAGTACTTGTAAGTTACAAGAAAAGGTTGCAAACTAGGTATTTGGTACATAAACACCTGTCATTTTTGCTTTCAGTGCGTCACAATCAGTGATTTTACGAATCGTGAGCGCTCACGAGTCATAATTTCGCTGATTGTGACGCACTGAAAGCGAAATTGGCAGGTTTTATGTGTCTAATACTTACACTTCAACTTCTTCTTGTATCTGACAAGTACAAACTATCATAATAGCATCCAAATGATTCCATAATTCCGAAAAACATTTTTTTATAGCGAAGTGAGTGGAAGTCCTGCTTATGGTTATGCTAATTTAACTGTTCAGCAGGCAACATTGGTGTTTCTGGTGCGAAGAATAGAGCACAAATATCATGCCTACTACGACACACAGCAGAACACAGTGTTGCCCACAAAATAACTGCTTGATCATGCCATAAGATTATCAATCTCTTAAACAATTAATAACTATTTAATTTGACATTTGACTGAAAAACGATACTGCGCAAAGTTGTAGCTTAGAAAATTTTCCGTAAGAATAGTTATTGAACTTTTCAAAAAAGCAATATGGAAAATGGGTAGAAGACAATGAACAAAAAGTTTAGTTTTCCAATAGTAATTTCCATATAAACTTCGAATGGTTTGTGCCAAGTCAGTTTCTTACCAAATGAGTTTAAATTTTGGTAGGCTAATCAGGACCTGATTTGAAACCGTTTGAGCACTGTCAAATAGCCAGTGTATTCGGCATATTGTTATGCTCCGAAGAAAACGATAAGGTGTGCTTGCCTTGGCTGATAGCAGTTCGTGCTCTTCCAGGACATTTTTCCTCTGGGCCTTGTTCTCTTCGTAACGAGCATTGCTAATTCCACGTTTCCGGAGTCTGATGTAATTTTTAATTGAAATAGTTAATTTGTATTGTAGGTAATTCAAAAAAATAGATCTACAACCATACCGTTTTGTCTTTGTGGTAAATGAATCCCTCATGTAGAAGCTTTATGGACCTACCATCCCGAATTATTTCACAGTTGTGTTTTAAGTTTGTTCTCTGTTTTGTGCGTGCATTCGCTTTCATAGTTTTCGGCTGCATTTGCCGGATTAGCACCGACAAACCGACATGACATTTAATTCTCACTTATGCCCGAAAATAGTAAAAGGCTGATTGAAATGTACAGTGATCCTGGTTTTGGATTTTTTTAATCTAGATAAAAATAATTTGTCCAGAATAAATCAGACACGAACCAATTCATAGCATAGCCAGATGTCAGTAGTGTGCTTTGGCCAGAAAATTTATTGTTTTTGCTATGGTCATTCTTGTCGGTTTGTCGGTGGGATTAGCGCTGGCACTCTGTCTCTCGGACGGTTATACCAAAGATGAATACTGGACAACTGTCATTGAAGTTTTTCAGAACATTACGAGCTGTTTGACTGTATATTCAGGAACATCCTCTAATTGAATATACCAGAGGAACTCAGATCAGCAGTTCACTTTTTTTTTC